AGAGAGAGAGAGAGAGAGAGAGAGAGAGAGAGAGAGAGAGAGAGAGAGAGAGAGAGAGAGAGAGAGAGAGAGAGAGTTTTTGCAAAGAGAGAGTAGAAGAATCACAGGGGCCAACAAACTTGTGTTCATCCTCTCTCTCAACCAACTAATAGAATTCACAATTCTTGGGGGATATCATATCCACATGCACAGTAGAGCCTCAGAGGGCCACATGGGCAATCTGCATCGGCTCCAGACACATACACACGCGAGCGGATTCCACTCCTCTCCCGTACCGATGAAGGGGGAAGAATGGAAGTCGAGAGTGGTTGTGGGTACTCCTCTTTCATTCATATATATTCATATATATAGAGAATATTATAAACACGACAACAGAAGGACACCACATAGTCTCAGTGCAAAGAACTACGAGCGCTGCAGAAACTGACGAACACACGTCACCAGCTACCACAGGGAAAAAAAAAAAAAAAAAAAAAAAAAAAAAAAAACCTGGACCCAACAGATTCGCCCACAACACTTCGGACCAGTGCAGAAGCTCTCGAACAGACATTTTCCAGCCGCATACAGCAGTAGCGGTTCTCCGGTCGTACCTCCAAAACCTGGGTCGCGCTGAGCGTACACCAAAGCTCTGTAAATAAACTGATGGCCAGACGAACCACTACACCTGGCTGTGGCACATGACACCTCGGAAACAGAAAGACAATTTGGCCGGAATCTGGTCCTACCTGCGGCCAGATACATTCACAAAAGTCCTCTGTGTGAGTATGTGCTGACACCTGAAACCTCACACCTCACATCTCGCATCTGACAGGGCAGTTTCCCAGCGGGTGCCTCTAGTGAAAGCCAAATAGGGGAAAAAGGCAGGTTAGCAGAATGACTCTACTGCTAATGGGACGGAGGGATATTTTTAGGGTAAATAGCAAAAAACTTGAAAAAGTTTAAAAAACACAAAAAGAAGGTGGAAAGCAGAGCTGCAGCTACACTTGTGCTCATGCAACTCTCTCTCTCTCTCTCTCTCTCTCTCTCTCTCTCTCTCTCTCTCTCTCTCTCTCTCTCTCTCTCTCTCTCTCTCTCTTTGTCTGAGCATTCTCTACTCCTGCACACATCATGCCTCTTTACAAATCAGTCATCGCAAGGGACAGCGACGGCCAGCTGCGATCAGCAACTCTCTTTTGCCTCCGGTGGCGAGGAAGAAGTTGAGAGCTTGGAGAGGATCTCTTTTGCACACGTGGGTATCTTCGTCCCCGGTCCGAAAATGCATCCAACGCCTTGCTTGTACAAAAAGTCGTAGTCGTCCGGCGGAATAACCCCACCGACAATCACCACCACATCATTCATTCCGATCTTTCTTAACTCCTCGACCAACTCCGGCACGAGCGATCGGTGACCCGCCGCTTGAGAGCTGACACCGACGACGTGGACATCTGCTTCCATTGCATGACGAGCCACCTCGGCAGGCGTCTGGAATAACGGGCCGATGTCTACATCGAACCCGACATCCGCAAGACCAGTAGCGACGACCTGCAAAACAGGAACACAGTTTTGTTTTTTTTGGGGGGGGGCAGGTTCAGGGAGGGGGAGGGAACAGAAAGTCACAAGGAAAAGGAAAAATGAAACATCACCGCCGAAAAAGAAGAGAAAGAAGAAACAGAAAAAAATCAGCCACATATCTCCACTGAATTGAAGTTGGAGCAAACTAATTGACACAATTCAATGCCAAGTTACGGAGTGAACCTGGCCCAAAAAAGCATGCCAGGTTCAGGATAACCGAGTGCATCACAACAAACATCACCCTCAACCTTAAAACCCCCAGTACTTGGAGTCTTCCTTTCTCCAAAGCGGATTAAGACCCCTGCTCGCCAAAAAAAATAAAAACTGACGCATTGGGCCTCTAAACCTGGCAGACAGCCATAAGCATAGCCTGAACCTGGTCCAAACAGCAAACCAGATTCATCATCAGTCAACCACAAAAGTTCATACGGCAATGTGAACCAGCTGCAGCAGTCGAAACATTCCCCTCTTATTCCCTTCCCCGCAGCCAACCCATAGACAACATTTTTTTTTTATTTTTTTTTTTTCAACCCATAGACAACATTCATGGTGCCTGCATACAAATACTGAAAATGGCCGCAGACAGACGATCCAGAAATCAAAGAAAGCTTTATGGCCACCCCCCTGCTCCTCCCCCCCCCTGCTCACAACCCGCCCCCCAAAGCAGAGGCCTCACCTTGCCACCCAAATTGTGCCTATCTGGATACATGTCCACAGCCAATTTCAGAGCAAAGACATCTTGACACCTGGGGGCAAAAAGATGCTTATGCTCCCCCCCCAAACCACACACCCCCACTCAAAAAGGAAACAAAAGGCCTTAATTTGGCAACACCCCCCCCTTCCCCCCCGCCACCCACCCACCCTTTTGGCACCCCAACACTGCCCATCCCAACCCACTTTTGCAAACAACCTGGGGCAGAAACCTTCCCCCTCTCAAAAACTGCAGAAACCCCAGAAACCTCCCCCTCTCAAAACGGAAACAGAAGGTCTCCCCCTCTCAAAAACTGCAGAAACCGCAGAAACCGCAGAAACCTCCCCCCCCTCTCAAAAAGGAAACAGAAGGTCTTACCTTGGCACCCCGATCGTGCCCATCTTGACCCATTTTCGCAACCAAAATTCGCGGTCTCCTCCCAGCCCTCTCTGCAAAGGCTTCAACAGCCGCACGCGCCTCCTCAATCTCCCCTGTTTGGCCATACGTCCCACTGGTCGTCGTTGATTGACGCACACAACGGGAAAAAATAAGATGGAGATGACCACTTTGTCAGTTCCGACCACCCACCCAACCGCCCATGGCCTTGCCCATTTTGCCAGCCCATGCCTGTCATATACTGCCATTTGAAAATTCAGTTTTCGACTTTTTATTAGTTTTTAACTTTTCGGCACGAACACCCGTAAGGTGCTGAGGGGCCTTATTCCGCAAGCAACCCCAACCCCATCCCTTCTCCCCCCTCTCGTCTCGGAGATTTCGGAGTGAATAACACGACAAGGAGCCTAAGGCTACCAGAGCGAATAACACGACAAGCAAGGAGACTCGTGTTATTTTATTCGCTCCAAAATTTCGGTTTCAGGGTTGGTCATGAGGGAGGATAAGAATGTGGCTGCAAACTTTTCCACTACGGACAGGGTAGACGGGATGCGGTCTGACATCAGCACAACGCAGGTTTAATTTTTTCTTTTTCTTTCACACGGCTTTGCCACGGTCAGACGACTCAGAACTGAGGCAATTCAGGGGCCTCGCCACACCACTGTCGAAACGAAAAGAGAATGAATGCATCTGCCACAGAAAGTGTTACGATACATCCATTGCTATTCGTAATAACGGATGCATCTTGCCCTTCTCCACAGAAAGATTCATTCTTTCGTTCTCCGTTTCGACAGCGGTGTGGCGAGGCGCTCAAAACTCTTCAAGAAGAGCAGCAAGGCAGCAAGGCAGCAAGGCAGCAAGGATGTGACAGAAGGTATGTATTCCATTCTCCATTCGGCGGACGTGCTTTATTTACGCATCTTTCTACGCTTCGTCTTAATGCACCACGAGTGCCCCACATAGATGGAAAGAAAGTCTAAAAAAAAAAAAAAAAAGCCCTTCCCATGTTCTAGAGGAAAATTCTTTCTCATTTTGCATATTTGGTGAGTAGTTAAGTGAGGCCCGTTATTCCCAGCTAAATGAGTTCCTCGCTGGGATGTTTATACCAGAGATGAGCATTTTGTTTTGGAAATGCCACTTCACCCAACCCACCCAACATTTTCTAAGTACATGCAACCCTTAAAAAAAAAATAAAAAAAATGTTTGAAGCTGATCCAACCCACCCAAGCATTTTTTTGAATTTTTCCGCCCACGCCCAACCCACCCGCCACCCGTAAAAAAGGTTCACCCAGACCC